AATGTGGTAACTTCCGAAGTTCAATATCTTCTACTTTCTTCGGGATACTTAGCAATCATTTCTGAATTCTTTTCTGAAAAAAATTTCTTTCCTGAAAAAAAATTCTTGGATGAGGGCACGATCGCCCATGGAAAATATAAAAGGTTTCCTCGTCGGTGCACATATGGGCTCCCTTTGCGGCCCGCGCTCAAAGCCCTCGATGTTTTGAGCTATGCTCTCCCACTCCTTACCCATGAGAGCGCCGTTTATGGCATTTATGAGCATGAATTCCATGCTTTCTTTGTGGAACTTCTCGCACCCTTTATCCTGACACTGCCGAACCTGTGGTCAACTTTATTATGGTCCTCACCAAACGTGGTGGACTTACTTTTTGACAATATTCTCAGCAATCCTGTCCTCCATAAGCGATGGACCTCTGTGAGAAAGACCACCATGTGCACGCAATCGAGAGTCGCTTGACGGTCTAGCGATGCATCCATCCATCGAATACGGCAGATCTCGAAAATAGTCCACTTGTCAGCGCGTGAGACTAAAAATCCCATTCGTTTCGAATTGAGTGGAGACATTTACCAACCATAGACCATGAAATCATTAAACCATAGAATCATATAGAAAAGGCAATGGCAAATCTGAAGTTTTAGTCACAAGCTCAGTTCATTGTTCATGTATTTACTGTAGCTCAATCTTGTCGCTATATTTATGCCCCAAACTGTATGTTCGAACTCAATGTATGTAATAATCACCGCTTCGGTTTCAGGCTAAGGGAGCCTTCAAACGTTCGCCTCTTAAAAGGCCAGGTGTCTTCTATGAAATTGTTCATGACTTGCTTTTCTTGAGGTTAAGTTCTTCTAAACCTGAGAAATGTTTATGGACGAATTGTCCATGATACACGTGTATGATTTCGGCTTTGTACGCCTCGAAAAATGCGATTTTGCGGGAACATTGTTGAATAGAAAGGTAATGTTATTCGCGGAGGTTTAAGCAGAAATATTGGGTTGTCCGGGAAGTTTCCCTCGGTTTTGACACTTATTTCAAATGCGCATTTCTCGGTTCGAACATAACGATTTCGAACAGAATAAAAGTTATAATCCCCGTACGCTCCTCTCCAAGAAAGTGTTGAAACGTTACAAATGTTGGAAATCTAAAAGCGATAGATCCGGCGAAGGCCATTTCAGCATCAAGCTGAACTTCAAAGCATTTCTCCTCAAAGAAGCTATCCAGACGGTAGGAAAAGTGGCAGCGGATATCAAATTGGTTTGGTGAGTAAGCTGTAGAAAGTATCTTAGCAACGCACTTTAGTAGCCCATCTAGTTCAATTTTTACAGGGTTATCGCTGCGGTGTGGGTTCGAGACACATCGCGATGAAGAGTCGTTCCCCTTGATAATAATTCTTATTGGGTACATTCGTTCAAGTTTTCGGTGTATTTGACACTTTGTTGAAAGTAGAGTCCTTTGCAACATTTCTATCTGGGCTTGAAGAGCCACCTGTCCCAGTCCTTGCGAAAGTGCAACATTGCCCTCGCGCATTTTCACCTTTTAGAAAACCTGCCAACACATTCTCGATTGAAGCTTTTAGAGGATTCTCGTCGATTATTGATACAAATACTTTCTGTGTTGCACGCCCAATCGAGAAAATGGTTTTAGTGGGCAGAAGAGTATAGAAGGAGAGCGGGTGAGTGTTGGAAACCGGGACTCTCAGCGCTACACGCTTGCTGACTTTTCCGTAATTTTCAGCCTTCTGCATTCATTTTTAAATCACAGGTGGGCTATATTGAATTTAGTATTGGACTCCTCTACGGTCATGTGCAGATCTAAATTATTCAGAATCCTTAATTAATTTTTATTCACGTCCGATATTCAACCCTCACCCTCTCCATCTGCGAGGACCTCGCAATTTCGCAACAACTATCTGCACCATTGGTGCACAGCGCTGTTTTTGTGGATCTTGACCAAACCCATAGCTGATATTGCGACGGGCTCGCCCTCTCTCCAGCCTTTTATGGTTGGAATAATGAAGTGATGCAGAATCGCCTTTTGACCAGGTTGCTTTCAATGCTCCAGGAAAGTGTCATCTACTATTTTTGAACAAAACAGACACTACCACTACATAGAGCGAAAAACGCGCTTGAAAGCGATATGCGAATCTGCGGGACTTTGCTAAAAATTAGAAAACTAAGCCATTCAAATAGTGCTACCAAAATCGGCGGAAACTTTCCAGACAACCCAATATTAGACTAGCATTTAGCACCATTTTCATGTGTCATTCGATGGTTACATAAATAGGGTGCTGCGCGCAACTGAAGTGTAGAAATCCTATTATTTTCCTCTCAGAGGCCAACAAGGTCGATTACATGAGTAACAGAAAGAGTCAAACTGGTAACGGAGTAAGCATATAGGCAATGCGCGCGTAGTACCAAAAATAGCTTTTTGTGAAGAGAAGGGGACGCTTCTGATCGTTTCGTTGATTTGAAAAATACTGATGTCTGAATGGTGTCACAGAAGTTGCGGTTGACAATGCGAGCCACCTGCAAAATGAGATTGTCGAGGTTCGAGTAATAGTCCGTGATAACATTAGAAACGTGATCCCTGTGCATTTGCGCACACATCACGATAGCCTGTCATTCGATGGTGGAATGAAGAAATCTGAGCAAATTTAGCAGAGACAGGTCCTCCCCATTTGTGGACGCTTTGATTCGAAAGCTCTCAACGTCCTTTCTATAGTTCCATGTCTGAGCTCATCACTTCTTTTCTCAGCTTCATCGGCGTCAGCTGGATTCATCGTTGAGCATTTGTACGGGTTCGTAAGCTACTTTGAAATGGAGCTTTTGAATACCCTGGTGATTTGTAAAATGGCAACGATTAAGCGCAGTAGCTACAGAAGAATAGCAGATATTTGAAATGACCTCTACTTAAAGAACCGTCTAAGAACACTTTGTTGAGAGCTGTTAAGTGCAGTGATCAGGGTCAGCAGTGCCCATGAGAATTCCTCTAGTTACGGCTCTACTCATTAGCTGCCTCCTTATTAACTACAGTCCTACATACTTATCCTCCTTATGTATCAGCTTCCTCAGGAACTCATTCAGCTCGAGAAAGAGGGGATGAACAAAAGTTTACAATCCCTCAACATTCCCTATCACACCACCCTTTCAAATTGAGCCCTTTCATATTCTTGAATACTGCTTCCCAAAAGCCAAAATTGTCACAGCGTTTGACTGAACGTATTACAGCTCAGAACTCACAGAACCAGTATGCTGGGGCTTATTCATAAGTTTGTCGCAAACTACATATAGCTTCGTATTGTTCTGCCGCTTCTTCTTTTCGTGTTCATCAATGGCTGGTACGATTTTCGTAGTAACGCACTTTTCACTACTAAGCAGGTGAAGAGTTTTTAAGAATTGTTCTACTTCATTGTCCAACTATTAGACCTTTTCGTATGTAACCTTTTCTAGAAATAGCACACATGAGTACAGTGTCCATTGCTCAAAGATGTGACTTCCTTCGCTCTCATCTCGATTGCATTCCATAAATATACATCAGAGGAATCTAAGGCTCGGGCTTTTCATTTGATGTTCCTCAACCAACATGCGTGCATTTTCTCTTCCCCTTCTGGTGTTTGAGTCTTTGCCTCCAGAAGAAGTGTTTGCTCAGAAAATGGTCGTGAAGCCGACAAATTTTGCTATTTGATTATCTTAAAACAGGGGGTGAACGCTCGAGGTCAACCGAAGAGTGCAGTGAGGTGGGTCGACCATCAACAAACACAGCCCTTCAGCTCGATGGATGCCGCTAGAGCTTTTCGACTTGCTTTGATTCTGCGGTTATTCTTGGTAAGGTATAGCTCGTCACATCTCTTGAAATTTATGCCTAGAAATTTTGCGCATTTTACCAATATTTCTTTGACAAGAATGAGACGTGAACCAGTTTCGTGAATACGTGAATTCTGTAAAGTAGAATTCCCTTGACTCTGGGAAGGGTAACTGTACCATTGGAAGTAACATACTAATCCTTTTTAGCTGTTGTATCAGTGATAAAAGTCAAGGTAGTAGATCATGGAATTGGTCTAGCAATAATCCACCCTTCCTCCCAGTGAATTAGAAACTCCTAACAACGAAATTTTTTTCCACCGAATCTGGATTTCTTTCCACTGATGTTACGAGCAATCGTATCTGTTTGCTGTTGCTCACTGCTCAGGGCTCTACTACTGCAGAACTAAATGTAAACTAACGCCGAGATAGCCAAAAAGTCCTCGTTAAAGAGGTCGCTATCGGTTCTCTGGGCAAAAGAGCCGTTGAGAGTAAATCGGCAATTATTTTGTGTGAGGAGGAGCAGAGCTTACTGTTGGTTAGGATGTCTGGTTCTTGAGAAGATTTATCAGAATTTCTGGGATATTTTCATGAAATTTTTGGAACTGTACAGGGACCTCAAAAACTTTTCTGTTTTGGTTGTACTTTGCTCACCTCGTGCTCGATGGACAGCTTTTCAGTGAGGTCAGGCACATGTTGGGTAGGGTACATGAAGATAAGAGTCAAACTTGGAGACGACGAACTGGGACCCTAACTGGGTCCTATAAGGTGGTAGGGTAGCTTTAGCCGACTTTCCTCGATCCGCGCACACTGACGCTGAGCTGCTTTTCTTGGCGTTCCAAGCAGGCGTTGCCTCTGTGCTCTGTCCCCTGTAACTTCCTACTCCTATCCCTCTTCTAGCTCACCTTGAAGAACTAGAATAGTAGGTGACTCATCTTTCGCTATCTAAAGATGCGAGCAAAATATTGAACAAGACGTTCGATGTTTTGGAACATCAAATGCAAACTAAATGGATTTTCGTCTTTAACTTTACAAGGAGCGGAACTGCTTGGAAGCCTATTCAATGGTTTTATTATTGCTTGTTATCGTTATTGATTATCGTATTGACTGTTGTTCCTTCAGATTTCATGTTCAATAGTGATTCGAGTGAACGATGTGGGTTTACAAGAGGCGGCCAATTGCACGAGGCAGTGGCTCTCGATGGCCGGACCACACTTCGCGCTGCCCGATATGAGGGTAAATAAAGAGAACACCGTTAACCTCAAACACAAGACTGATCAGTAATATGTTTATGAAGCACTATCCAGTACAACTTAATGAGTAGGCGCTATAATGTGAATTGTAATACTTATCAATACAGCAGCGCTTTGCCCTTTCCTATACGCGCAATCAAAACGCTTACCCTTTAACACGTTGACGACATGGCACGTTTTGCGTTTAGCACCGCGTGGGACAAGGGCGATTTTGCGAGCCGCACACACCAAATCTATGGATTTTGAGCTGTAAATACGCAATACTTAGATGCGATGAAGTGTTTTCAGGAATGTTCGACCTCTCTAATCTATTGGGAGTTACAGTAAACCCATGAAAAGGCAAATTCCAATTGCTTTCCCTTGAGTGGTTCCAAAATTAATATTGACGTGGTTGTTCGAGTAAAAACACATATCTTCCCACACGAATAGCTTCGTATTCGCTTCCAATTCCTTTTATCATCATGTTCACGTTCATGAAAAGAAAACGAGGAATGAACTGAACAAACATATCCGTAAGTTCTGGAAAACCTCTACCACACTGAAGAATATTTGGCCTTTCTAAGAGTCATTAGGTTTTTAAGTATGTTAATGTATGGCCTATAGAATGAGTGCAAAGGCCTCAAGAATAAGTCGCGCAAGCGCAAGAAAACGGGATGACTTGGGTACCCCCCAGGAGGCCCGTCGCGCGGCAAGAAGGCAGAGTCGGCGGACGAGTTGCAGTGCGAGGTGTGTGATGTAGGACGTGCAGTGGAACACTCTATTTAACTTGACGCGAGATCCCTATAGTACGAGCACAACTCGTCCTCTGACTTTGCCTTTTTGCCGCGCGACGGGCCTCCTGGGAGGTACCCGGATGACTTGGGTGGGACGCGTTATCGCGTCACAATGTCTCACGAGTTGTGCAAAGTGGGCTGTCGTCAACGTGTTAAGTGTTGCTCAAAGAGTCCATATATGCGGCCCGCCTTGCATGCAGCACTAATTTACTTTTCTAACTAAGACATCTTGCGTTGAAAAATTTTTTGCAGACTTCTCAGCGCAAATTCAGCTTTCCCTGATTTAGCAAGTGTTCGTGAATTCCTTTGCTGCCGGCGAGATAATTGTACGAAATATCACGGTGGATCGATTTGTTCCTCCACAAATTCGATTCCGATTAAACAACAACTCGACCGTTCAAATGCTAACTCATTCCGGATATATTCAGGTTCGAAATTTTGTATACCATAAATTATTCCCAGACATTTCCAGAGCCTTTTTGATTCTCGCACTCAGGATTTTTTTAAATGATTTACTGTCGCATTTTCTACTATAAGCTCTTCAGGCAGCAGCAGATTGGGAACTACGCTCCGAATTGTTGAGCGTTCTTCAAGTTCCTTTGGAGGGAACCATTCGCATCCAGATGACGGGGCTCATATCGGAGATCGATATGGAAGTAAGTTAATATTAAATGATCTACAAGCGTGGTAGAACAAATCTTTCTTCAGAACGTCTCGCCTGACAGTCTGGAAGTCAGCAACTGTGTTGCGCGTATTCGTGATGTCCGTCTAAGCTTTCATGGAAGTGTCGCAGCCAATATTTTTCAATTGTTCAGAGCGAGCTTCGTGAAGGAAATACGCAGGAAGCTTGAAGAGGTTGGAACAACTCTTGAGAAGAGCATCCAGACAAAACAATAACCTCTTCCCTCAACAGTTTTCACTTTGTTCTTTCAACTAAAGGCAAAGGTCGGGGTAAGCCACACTAAGGAGGTCCCTCTCGCGAGTGGAAGTGATAGGTTCGCTCCGTGTTGTACTGATTGATCAGCCGTGCTCTCTCGATCCGAACTTCTTTCACACTCCTCCTCAACTCACATAATTACCAATTTCGCCGTCTGCCTCTTGGAATTTTCCGCAGAGAGCAAGGGGGTTCGTGTGTTCTGTATTCCTGACAATATTCTTCACTTTTCTTCCACGTGTGCCCCACTTCATCACCTCGTTCGGAGAGTTTGATTAGCACACCAAATAGATCCTGACTTTCGCTCTATAGGCACCGAAACCAAAATCTCCTAATATTTATCAGTCACAATTTTCTCCATTCTCTGAGACAAGGCTGAATAGAGATTGGCTAGGCCAGGTTCAGTCCATGCAATATTTGCAAAACAGATTTTAGTAGCGAAACCAGTGAAACCAATCCACGTCGCTCAAGCTTTGGCCATGCCACAGACGAGCCCCCCTAATAGTTACCGTCGCTTCCCTTGTGCAGCGCGCACAAGGAAAGCGACGGTAAATGTTAGGTTATTCGGAAACTAATAGCAGTCATGCGACCCTATATTTTCTGGACACAGTTCGGTAGCGACTTCTTTTCGAATGCTTTAGTGTTGTACTCCCAGAATTCTTGTACTTTACTCCCAGAATTTTTGGCGTAGAGATGGAAGTATAAAAATCCAATTTGCCTAATCCACTTCTTCAGCTTCCTTAGATCCAAATGCAGCAGAGCGTTCAGACCATCAAAAAGTATACAGGAAGGAAGAGCTATCAAAAGAAGAGCCCATCGTCGCTCTCAAAAGTTCAGCTATGCTTTGCTCAATCTACAAGATTAGAAGTGCTGTGAACGTAATCATCTGACTATTATTCTAAGCCAAAGGGAACTTGGTGGAGAGACCACTCCTACGGCTCTGAAAAACCAACATAAGAAGTAGATGTAGGATTGAGATTCGGGAAGACAAAAACGTGGACACGTCCATTCATTGAATTGAGTCTGCCAGAGTGGAATCGTCAGTACGAGCTGTACTTGGCACTTTCTTCGCGCAAAAATAAGGACCACATTTGACAGTATTGCAACGCACGGCAGACGGGTACCATAGACTCAGTGACTGGACCGCAATAAAACTTCTAATCCATCCCTCAAAAGTGCACCAATAATGCCCGCGGTCAGGATAGTATCATAGCCTAGTGTAACTACGCTTCCTTGAAACTCGATAGAGCAAAGGAGGAATATAGACAGCAACTGAAGCAGATGCATTAAAACGATAACGTTTACGCTAAGCTTTACTCTGTATTTGGTTGGTCCATAAGTCTTCCAACAAATTACATTTAATGCTAGAAAATTTTTGTGAGAATTTCGATTCGGAGACATGTTTGCTGTCGTGGCACCCACCTTTGCAATTTCAACCCTCCAGCTCGCTGTCTCACTACTTGTCACATCGAGTTCGCGAAATGCTCTTCGTGCCCTGAAATTTACGAGTACTGCTTTGAATATTCCGCAAGTCATGCTACACAAAGGAAAATGTGGCCAGAAAATGGGCAATGGCACGCTCTCCAAACTCACGGTGCACAGGCTCCTCACTCTATTCAGAGTTGAATTTTTTTATTTGACGATGATCCACACTCCAACCACTCCGTGACTAGCAATCATGATGCTCTACCTGAGGCTGTTGAAAAGGGATCTGGATAGACTATCGATCATTAGCCAGAGAAATTCCGATGCGACAAGGAGACAGCACTGAGACATTTTGAAAAACTTGTAAAGATACCGAAAATATAGGAGTTTGGATCCCACATGCCTTGAGCCCGAATCAACTCCAAACATGACGTGACATCGTCATGTTCAAATCGACTTACTATGGATTCTTCGATTGGTCATCCATCACTTCTACCGAAAATGAGAAAGGGATACGTGTAGTAACAAAGAAACCAGCGGCGAGATTCCAGCTCAAACTCTTTGAAACTTTCTACAGCTAAAAGTTTAACCTCGCGCAAATTTGACCTTGTCGGATTTTTGCTGGGAAACGAGGGGAGTAGAGCTCCGGATACCCCTGCTTCTAGATGTCAATGCGGAAGTCAACCGTCCACAGCTCTACATATTGCAACGCTTTCAATAAGAAAGAAAAGCAAAATAAAGTCGTTTTCATGACACTGTTGAACCATCTCTTGCAAAGATAATCCAGAAGAATTCGGGACTCGTCGGAAAGTCCTTCCGTATCCATCTTATAGCCCTGACGTTGTGCGAAAGGATTTCCACATCCTTCCCTCTGCAGACCACCTCCTAGATAACAAATCTCATCTTAACGATCATGAAAATCGACATCCAACCTTTCTTGTGCCCAATGTGCAGGCGATGACCTCAAAAAAATGGAAATAATGTTCTGAACTAATCATTGACAACGAAAACGTGCAAAGCTGTATACTCACCTAAAAATTTCTACTTCTTCATGTGTGTTCATAGGAAAGTTACTGTGCTGAATTCGCTTCGGTATTGTGGAGTTTCCAGAGTTTTGACTTACCAATTTTTTTTGAAAAATCGTACTATGCTTTCCAATCTTAAAGGAATTATGTTATGCACGGTATTCTCCACTCGATTTTACTCCATCATGTGAAGTTGTGGCGATTCCGTTAGTTGTTTGCTACGCTAGGTCAGAAATGAAAAGTACCGAAATTTTCGACCGCAACTATAGGCTTACAGCATGCTCCAACACTTTTATCTCTACCCGCCTCAGAGATACAAGAATGAGCTTCTAGAAAAAGTAAAAGAGGATTCGGCTTAACTTCTGATTAAGGATTACTGCACGCTTATGGAAAAGTTCTGGATGACATGGGTGAGAGCTCAACTGTCACAATTCTCGCCAAATCTCACACTCAGCCGGACCAATCCTCAAGTTCGTACTTTGCCACAACGACACTTTTTATACATCGCCTTTCAATTGGAGCGTTCAGGTTATCCTCACGCAATCGCTTGAAACAATTGTTTTGTCACGAGACCACATCGACTTAGAAATGCGAAGCGACTTGATCTGGAATGGTAATCTGATGGAGAGTGAGAGCGTCTCTCTGTACAATAATGGTAAGTAACGTAGGTCCATCATTCAGAATCAAACGAGTCATAGGCAAGGAAGCAGGCCAGGTCTAACAGAGGAGCTCGCACCTATGTCTACAGGCATTAGTCGCTGAGAGGTGTGGGCCAGGACTCTTCCATCACTGAGCTATTTTCTGTTATAGAGGCCATTTTCCAGGCATAATCGGGGGGGGGAGGGGTTTTCTTGCTTTTTTTTCCAGACCATTCCTCACCTCCAGTTTCATTACTGATGCTCTTATACGCCTATTTTTTCCCGGGGTTTGCCTTTAAGAGGGGGTTGCCTCTAGCAAGCTGTTTCCTTCTACTGTTCATCTGCATCTGCTAATGGCGAGTAATGAAAGTCGCCGTTAAAATCGTTCAGTATAAGTGCTTGGATTCTCAGATACGGAAACACCCTCGACCCGAATGATCACCATATTCGTGGAAGAAGAGACCATGCAAAATATATTGAAGGCCGCATACTACGCTGGACATTTCATGTGGGTTCTTTGTGAAGAATAGCCTTATTATCGTCCTTTATCTACTGCCTATATCTCAGAACCACAGTCGAAAGTCCTTTCTTGAAAACTCAGTGTGATGTGCTATGCATTGGAACAATGCTTCCAGAACTATCTGAAGCGATGCCAAACACATCACTTATAGCGCAGGTTAGTTAGCAGTAATCAAATTGCATCACGGAAAAATTATCTTTAAATTATTTATTCATCATCAAATTAAAGAAAACAGACAAAATTAAAGATAGATGACGCTGAATTTTTTTAAAGATGGAAAGACCACGCTGTAGGCCGGATTTTGTAATTATTAGCACCTTATTGGCACATTGGCGCTCCCTAAACAGGAGAGTTTTAGGGATTGGGTGTAAAACTCGATCATGATTCGAAGCGGATCAACAAGGCCCTATTCATTTACCACTCAACCCTTGAGGCTTGCTTCTTCTTCAAATGGCTGACGCTACATTACCCTATGCAACGCATATTGGTATGAGCTGCAATAATTCAGCTGAGTGAAGAGTCGCGAATTTCAGCCACAGCTAGAGTCAACCCTGCGCTGCGCAGTTTTCAACGGCCACGTTGCGCAGTTTCGCCCGATTAGACACGTTCTCTCGCGCGAACATTCACACTCGCATGCTCGAGCCGTCTTTGTCTCCGCCCATACAGCGTGCGTTGAGGATCTCTCAACGTGCCGTTGCGAACTGCGCAACGTAGGGTTAACTATGGCCACAGCTCTTAATTTCTACTTCACAGCTCCTGATGTGTGTTACTGCGGAAATATTATTCAGCTCCACGCTGGAAGAACAACAATCATGCATCAACGAAATCAAGAGTAGGCTATTCAGCATTGAATGTTGGAAAAGTTGTGAAGATAAGACACAGTTCAGGCACCATGTTCGACTCTCGATGTACCTCGCCATAGTTTCAGTACGAATTTATTTAACTTAACACACGAGGTTGACGCTTCCCTTGGCTAACGTTTCGGCCATTTCGCCTTCTTCGGAGCCTTGAAAAAAGTGGAAATCAATTTATGATTTATCCGACCAACCTCCCTATCCTACGAGACCTTCAAGACCAGCTCACTCAGCACATAATTAATAGGCAGATCAAGTACCATACCACCCCGATCAGGGGAATCAGCTCACAGGAACAGCAACATAGCGGATACCAGAGTGGTCGGAATCCAGGGTTCCGGCTGGAAGGCTAACCTTCTATAGGAGGTTAGTTCCCGCGTTACTGACACACACACTCACCTGTGGTTCATTTTTGGATTCTTGAACCGGATCCAAAGTGCCACCAGAGTTTTGCGCGCGGCTTTCTGGGTTTCGCGCGCCATGAGCTCGACGATGATCCAAATTGACTCCATTGTGGGCTTCCACCTTATGGCAACCTAAAGCAGTGGATAGCCGCGCCCTAGGCTTTCCCTCCAAATGCTCCTTAACACGTACATGAAGAGGTCTAGCCGCCTCTCCTATATAATCGTCTCCACAAAGTTGACAAACAATCCTATAGACCATACCTGCGATTGTGCAGTCTCCTTCGCTGCCATTGTGACAGACCACACAGTTCTCAGTCTCGCATGTGCGGTCGTCGAGACGATTCCGAACCAGGCTTAGGTTATTAAGAGGTATATCAACAAGAGCAGCAGTTCAGGCATTTCAAAGTACCTTGATTATTGTAGTGCTGCTACAGTTGTGCGGATCCAGCCGCCGCCGTCGTCCGCGGTGCGTCTGGACCACCTTACCGAGAAAGTGATAACATCAGTGAAAACTATGCTTCCGAGAGATCGAGACAATGTAGCCAGTTCAGGATTTGGGGTGGGGAGGGAGAGGGCTAGTCACTTGAGAATTAAAGTGTCCGAGTTTGCAGCACTCCGTAAGACAGGTATGCCTTGCAGCAAGGTGACCACTCTCCATTCAAACCAACGGTAGCACGTTTCTCGCCCTACATGTGGAATAAATATCTAAAACGATTTCTGTGTGCAGTGTGCATCATACACATAGAGCTAAGAAATTCACTTAGTGAGTTCTGCGTGTTCGAAGGCAGCACTCACGGTGTCTGAAAAGCCGTCCGATCACTTCCGGCCCTCCCTTTCCTTCGCCTTCGTTTCATGAGCCGCACAAGTTAATAGAAGCGCAAAAAAGTCGACCATACACGGATTCAAGCACAGCAGCAGTGAAGATAATTAATCCTTGTTCTAAGAAATTTCGATCGTATTGTGATGTTTTGGTGCCGTTTGGGTCAGTAGCTACTCTGTTTTCATCTATGTGAAAGGCATCAAATCACGCTAGCAGTGACTTTAAAAGCACATAGTGCGATCACGTGATGGGGCTAATCTGCTCGAGAATGATCATACAGAAGTAAAGTGGGCCGCCAGTAAAGAAAAGGGAAGGGCGACCGCCGAGAACGAAGAAATTTAAGGCCATCTGCTTCTGCAGTGGACTGCGCTGAAATCTGCAGAGTTACTGTGCGCCGACGAGGAGGAGCAGGACAGGAAGTTTATTAGGCGAGAGGTGCAGTCACCTTATTACATGAACCGCATTATCATGATCAACAGTGGAACTATCTAGACTCCTAAGACCACGCCCTAGCGCATCTGTACTCTCCAGTGGCAAGAACTTCATAAGTTTTACCATTTTACCCATTTGTGCCATAGATCTACCCTTTCACTGAAAGATTTGGTCCATCAAATCATTGTGGTTTGTGGCATTGCAGCTCTCTCTTATTATACTATTTTCTGAGGCCTATCGAATTAGGCTCAATTCAATTGCATATACCATCTATTTCGGAAAACGAGAAGAGCGTCGAGTGCAGACTACACACCACAAGTGACGAAGGCCAAGAAGAACGAAGAGAAAAAGTCACGTTTTTCTCAAATGTCGTCACTTGTGGTATGCACCCTGCACTCAACCCTCTTCTCATTTTTCGGAGAAAGCGTATTTTCTCACTGTCGGCGTGATAGCAGAAGTCACCATACTTGGGATTGGCCAACGATCACTAAGCTTAGTGACTCCTAATGAAAAAGCTAAAAAAGAAATCTACGAAATATCGTGAAATGATTAACTTAAAGCAAACTTATGCTACGATGAGGAGAAAAAATAAGTAGATGAGGTGCACAACCTAACAATTTTTTCACTTCAACAATGCCACCAGTAACAGAGTTTTATTTAGGTGTCGGCACTTTCCGCTCCAATTATCTCCTTATATGACAGTCAGGCGGTCGTTTTCGTTAACGCTTCATTGAATGTGAGTATAATTTCAGGCTCTGGTCAAAAAAGAATCTGTGGTCGCTTGAAGAATGAATCCAAATTCACACACCAAAATACCCGCCCATCCCGTGTGTGCTTGAATCGCCATTTCGTTGTTGTTGTTGTTGCTGCACTTTATACCTTCATCCCAAGGTTTAACTGGAGGATGTTTCTGGCCATCTTTTCCACCATCTCTCATCTTGAAAGGCCTGAAATAGATCGGAGCTCGTGATGTGCACTGTGCCCTGTTAAACGCCTCTTACGCTCTAGAGTTTCTATCGTCCTGTCAGGAATGCACAGAAAACATCTAGAGCTCCAAAAACAACTTCACCTAGTTTTCACCGGGGTGCTGCACACTGTCAGTGCGCTATCGCAACATACGGGGGCACTTCGTGTCAATGCATATGTACAAAACCGCCTTAAACATCTTCTTTCTGTTGAAAAACGGGCCAAGGAAGGAGGTCCAGGGTGCGTGATACTCATATCCCCCCATGTTTCTGCCGCGTAATAGTCTCAGCCCTAAAGGATGCTCCCGTATCTTGCGATGGCGCCAACACTCAGATCATCGGTAGCGAATGCGCATCATGCTAGGTGCTGGCATATTTTTAGGCAGACGAGTTGCCGAATGGCAACATCCACCTCTTACCAGGAAGGTCTTTAAGAGGATGCCGAGCTTTTTCAAAACGGTCTTCTGCATGGTAAAGGGGCAATTGCGGGAACCACAGGACAATGGTTAATTTTTCCTAAACGGCTGCCGGGGTCTCTGGTTCGATTCCTCGTGGTGAAAAAATTTTGCATTTCGTGTTGGCATGGTTACTGACGGTCCTACTTATGATATGGCACTCATCCTTCGTGCTAGCTTCACTCTATGCGAATTTTGAACCGTACTCGAGATGCAAAAACTTGCCACCACGAGGATCGAACCAGGGACCTCCATTTTTGGGATCCAGAGAGCCGTTTAGGAAAATTAACCATGGTTCTGTGGGCCCGTATGTGCACCTATATCGTGCAAAAAACCGTTTCGAAAAAGCTTGGCACGCCTCCCACTCACAAGTACAGGAACGTGAGAGATTTTTTTTCTGAAATTTCATACAAGTCAGCAATAACAGAACCTCATGGAATGTGAATAATTACCATAAGATGCTGAGTTGTGGACAAAATTTTCGCGCCGGGATTCGTACTAGGATCTCTTCTTTCCGGGCAATTGTGCTACCAGTTACACTGCATTTTAACATTGCTATGTGTAACTGGTAGCACAGTTACCTGGAAGCAAGAAGTCCAGGTGCGAAGTCCGGCTGAGACAAAAGCTTTGCCCACAACTCAACATTTTTGTGAAATATTGATATTATTTTATGAGGTTCTGTCACTGTTGACTCTATGAATTTTTGAAAAATTTGTCAGGGTCAAAATTTGCGGCGCTAAACACCAGTTTTCCAACAAAATTCAGTCAGAATATAAACAATACAAAAATTAACACAAACGAAATTGGTGGGTATCGAGATGCGAGTATTAGAATTCATATACATCTGACATTTGTCTCAGGTTGTTTCACCGGTCGGAAAACGTTATATAGGGGACTTCTCATCGGAAAAATGTTTTCATTTCTAATCTTGCATTTTTTCTCTCAGTTCTCAAGCAGGTCAATAGAACGTACTCTACATATATACATATTTGCATGACTTCCCACACCATGGTCTTCAATCCGCGGGGAAATTCGATATAGAAAGATGTGCTAATGCTAAATATGAAGATGCTGAACCCCAATGACCACTTCCCTACCGGCTCGACGCTGGCTCTTACCAGCGATCCAATGAGTACTACATAAAACTAAAAGCAAGCTGAATCCGCTGATAGTGCCTCTGCTAGAGAGCAGCATTACACAGTTTTGTATCCTCCTGAATAGTAGCAAAGACTTGTACTGACATCGATCTTTACTTATCTTATCTTTAAGATTCTTGCTAAATCTGCATCTAATGAAGCTCATGGAATGCTTGTTAGTATAAACGTCATTACGGAGTTTATACTTGAGCTGGCAATTGAAAAGGGAAGGGTGAGTGCAAATTCTACCGTATTTATGAAGCCTACTTATAGCTAGTAATAATTAGCAATCTATGTTAAGGTCAAAGGTTCTGCGACTACTCTCAGAACTCAAGCAGTACTAGTCGATACCCAGATAAAGATTGTATCACAGAAGGTAACCACTAACATTTCCTATGCTATTTTGGCCACCTATATTATGATCCTCTGGAATAGATTCAGTTTTGAAAATCTGATAAAAAAATCTGAAAGTTGCGACGTTTCATGGATTCCCCACCATACTGCTTGCTTGCTGGTTCCTGCTTGAGTCAGACCTTTCAAGCGTTTTCATGGTAATGCATGGATCAAGCAGTTTAACATGACATATTACTTCATTGCAGAAACTCACTAAAAAGCCATAAACACATTATTTCGACTTGTAATGGGCGCTAGGCACAATTTTTGTGACACTTCTGAAAGGCTTCCACTTCTGCAATAGTTTCGGAAAATTTTTACATTTTTTGAAATGTATTTATGATGTTGACGTGTTGCAACATATCTTTAGACCGATATGAGACTTCGAAACGGAGCAATTGTTAGACTTTTCAGACTGTCGACCTTCTTGTCGAGATGTCAACACCATTCGTCGAGGACGCCATTGAGCTGCTCCTTCATCGTGGAATATCAGTATCGTCACTATTCCAGTTTCCCACCAAGAACGAGGTTCTCACTGTTCACGGAAAATTTTTGAGGCTTGAAACAGATATTGACTTTCCAATGTCTTCCTATTACTCCACCTTGCACACGTTTCAAAGGACCCTCTCCCTGAACTAATCAGAAGCGCATCCTTCATATTTTTTGTACTTGAACTGGAAGCGTCCATGCGCTGTACGTTCGTTGAATGTCCCCATTCAGAACTGGAAACTTCGGCGTGCATTTGGTCACAAAAGTTTTTGGCCCATAAAATTTTAGCTTGTCTGAGGTATCATCAGAATTTCTTCATGTAGTTCCCCTATTCAATGGACTGTCCTCCTCCTCGTAAGTTCACCAACTGAAACCGAAATAGACGTTTCGCGAATGAATCACTGGAACATGTAGTTTTCTAAAGGAGGTGGCCTGGTCCGTAACAGCAGAAGTAGAGGCCCTAAAAACGTGTGTGGTCGTTGGCTTATGACAGGCACCTCACGCATCTATGCACGCCCACCATTGAGAGCGTGCTGCTCTCTTCGTCCCCACTTTCTATGCTCTTCATTTCCGAGTATGCTCTCTCGCCTGGGCGCTTGAAGTCTCTTAGATTACTTCGTAGAGTTGTCCAGCTCTCCACACGGAGGCTTCTACTGTGTTCGGCGATTTTTTTTTTCGAGGAATCACCCAGCAATTACTGCATCCTTTATGACCCCACTACCGAGCTTTTGCTATGACGAAATGTGCCTTCGATGTAGACGAAACAGGCTAGCGAAACCCTGATATTCAGAGCCTGTCCACCTTATAGGCTGTCAGCATAACAGTCGTCCCTACGTCATGATTCACTGACAGACCTTCGCGATTTCCTGCAGAAGGCAAACTATAGAATGCACCACCTATTGATATTACGTTCCTTATTACGTAGTATGACCTCACCCCTCACTTCTCACGGGTTCCGTCCTCTTAGCACCACTTTCCCATATTGTTTTCTCTATTCCTCATTTACTAGACAAAGAGAAACATTATGCAACATTCTTTCTAAAATAAGACCTATATCACAAGATGATCCACCAATGCGTCACATGCCCTCGTTTTCTAGCGCACAAGCTCCGTTTACCTTCCCCTGCTTGCTCTTATTGTTGTTCTCTGGTGGAGATCGTTCCATATATAACCGACTATTCGAATGGATATCATTTACGGACCCGGTGAGATTGCTGCACCGCATGTTTACCATCATTTCTGTGAAAATTTGTAACATCTGTGATGTGATTTAGTCTGCTAGTTTATTTGAAATAGCACAATAAATATTGTTCTGCGCTTGGATTCAAGACGACACATACTAGTCAGCTTGCTCCACTAGGATGGTGTCAGAGTTCGCGATCCGTCGCAGGTTTCGCAGGTTCTGCATTGTATGCGATTCACGCAATTCACGTGACGGGTCACGGAAATAACAGGCGCCCGATCAACACTGCAAGGTGTTCGCCAATCCTACCGCCACTTCTGCTTGATGGTGACGGCTAAATGAGGTCTGCTTATGATTCCACTTGTTTCATATTTAGTGTTTCTAATGTTCAAATAGGGCACTTCCAATTCTCGCGATCCGCGCGAGCCGCGCAAATCGCTTGGACCGCGCGAAATCTGCGACGGATCGCGGAGCTGACACCAGCCTTAGGCTTCTATTGCCGCCACCTCTGTCTCCGAAAAGTGTCGATTGAAGCATCAGGTTGAAGGACTCCTCCCTAGAAGAATCGCGATTCTACATACACTGCGTCCCATAATTGTACGTCCCTTTAAAATTTCCCAAAATCTCACCAATATGGATGTTTCGAGAAATGTCTTCAATGTGACAATGTGTCATATATCAATGCGGAATTGCTTATGAACATCACTTTCCTATTCAAGATCCTATTTTTTCCCAATAATTTTCGTCTAAAAGGCCACTCTGCCGACGTCCCAAAATTATACGTCCACCTCATGTTTATCGACTACTTCTCACTTTTGTTCCACGAAACTTTTTCATTGTATTAACACTTCACTTCTTAAGGAGACTGCATAACAAAAACGGCTGTTGGATTTGGAAGAAGGTTAGGTTGTCGCAAAAATTGTTGAACAACGCGATCGCGCCAGATTTGGACCAAATTCATGCCAGGCTCAAGAACTTCTTCAGGGGTTTTACATGATTAGGAGATCAGAAGAGCATTAAGGGTCTCTCATCACTTCTCGAACGAAACCAAGGCCGTGTCACAAAAGAAACACCCACTTTCCTCAAACAGTGCTCTGTCATCGAATCTTATTCAGACTTAATGCCTCAACCATCTTTTGTTTTATGCGTGTGAAGGAATCCCAAGATCGTTCTTAATTAGTAAATGTGAAAGGCATTCATTTGTGGCAAGGAATCGTGGCGAAAACTGGGCTGATTTTTGCATGAAGGTGCAGCCGAGCCGACCGAGGCAGGGTTCGTTTTTGCTTTCCATGCATGAGTGTTTCTTTGTCTCTTTTTCACCACCTTGTGTTCAAGTTCCTGCCGAGCATCTGTCAGAAATGCTGTCGGCAGGAGCGCTTCTAATACTTGATTCACAGAGTGCCTTCGCTAGAAACTCTTTTTGGCTGTCGCGGAACCATAGGGGGAAGGGTCTCCTTCGTCCAGGCAGGGCCAACCGTCCGTTGAACAAAGTCCTACGGGGGGGAGGGGGGTCGTATTTGGCCGGCGCTAGAGGGGAGGAGTCGTACTCGCAGGTGTCAACGTTGCAGTACGAAAAAAAGAGGTGGTTTTCGCTATAAGGAACCTAATGTGTGTTGTGATGAAGCTCGCAGCTGTTCGCTTTTGCTAGGACCATCGAACGATTAGAATCTAGGCGTTAGTTCTCGCAACAGTAGGAGAGAGGTAAAACTTTTGAGTGCTTCTTCAATTATTAAGCACAAACAAGTGCATGGCGCCATCAGAGCAGAAGAGTCTACTGCGAAAGCAACCATATTTGACTGCGCATGTACACAAATAATTTTGGAGGTGAACCAATGCCTTCAAACCCTAAGTTGATAAAGGAGTGAGCTCTTGGTAGATTGACTTTTAACTCAGATAGGGCTGCAGCAGCTTGGCAGCAGAATGGATTTGCAAGGCTCAAGTCATTCGACTGTTGAAGCAAATAGGGGCGGATCCGCTGCTGGATATGCTGTCATGCTCGCAGCACGGTTCTACCGCTGTGCTGCTGTAATCTGAACAACTGACGTCTGCCGCAACCAGCACTGCTGCACCTCTAGGGAGTGCAGCTTAGGAGCTGCACTAACGGCGCAGCACTACTGGACATATGCTGCAACCAGGGTCAACCGCCCTTTGCGCAAAGAACAACGAGGGGGTCGTCTTCGGCCGAACAAAAGGGGAGGGGGTCGCATCCAGAAAGACGGAGCTACAATGGGTCATTAAAAGTGCAGTGTCCGGCAGTGCACTTTCACGCTCTAATGTTCTTCAGGAGCTCTGCACAGTGCAGCTGTCGGAGAGTCACACAGACAAGAGCTCCATGGGAGCATTAGACCATGCACAGCGTCATGTCTCACTATCAGCCATTATTACCCTTAATACACGGAGGGCGCTTTCGCTCGACAGGATATGTCAAGGTTACAATAGCCAAGAACAAGTGAAAAACATGGTCTGTCTTCGATGACCAAACATTCCTTAAACCCCAAGGAGAACAAATTGTAGAGCACTTCACGGGGAAGTGAAGCAAGAGTACCATATAAGAGTACAATGCAGCTCAATCACGATACTAACACCTTCTTCAGGAGAATGGAGGACTTTCGAATGCGAGTGCGACTTCTGTCCACAGACAGGTGCACGGCGCAAACCCGAGCAGGCGTTTTCTCATCGAAACGCATTCTCTGCCAGCGGCCGTGAGCAGACAAACTTCCTGAAGAGAATTTCGATGCTTTCAAATTGACTCTAAGCGGAACAAAGTGTAGCGAACTTGCTGAAGTGACTAGAGAGCCCTTAGGAAAATCGAGGGAATAGAGAGAATTTCAGGAAAATTTCGCACCTATTATGAAGTATCAAGTAGATTCTAACAGTCCTTACCGCTTTTCATCACATCTACGTTGAAGGAAGTTATGGGCCTTTGAAGACTGCATAGTCGCGGTCTATGAAAAGGGCTTAAAAAATCAAGGTGATAAAAACGGAACAACGGGACTATTTTTTGAGTGAGGGATCGTTGGGAAAAAGTGAGGTACTTGTTTGGAAGCTCTAATCTTCTAGTTACTAAATAAAAAAAACATCTGCAAAAAGTTGACTATGAAGAAAGTTATGAACGTATGAATGTCGAAAACTCGCGTGTGCACAAAAACAGAACAACGGGACGATTTTCTGAAATATTTAACATCCGCAACATTTCAAATACTTCTTATAAATTTTCAAAATTTTCACTTACAAACTCTTGGTGTCCGGTTTCATAAAACGCCGTCTCGGGTCGATTCCTCGTGAGCTGAAGAAATTTTGCATTGTCGTGGGCATGAGTTACTGACGGTCCTACTTATGAATATGCCCACTTCATCCTTCGTGCTAGCTTCATCTCATTATACTCAGATGCAAAAACTTGCCACACGAGGAAGGCGAACCGAGGGACCTCCAGTTTTTGGGATCCAGGGAGAGCCGTTTATGAAAATAACCTGGGTCATGTGGGCCCGCATGGTGCACTATATCGTGGCGAAAAAACCCCTACCAGTTTTCGAAAGCTTGGGGCCACGCCTCCAACTCACAAGTACAGGAACGTGAGAGATTTTTTTCTTGAAAATTTCATACAAATGTCAGCAATAACGAGAACCTCATGGAATGTGATAAATTACCATAAGATGCTGCCGAGTGTGCGACAAAATTTGCGCGCCGGGATTCGTACTAGGGATCTCTTTCTTTCCGGGCAATATGCTGCCTACAGCTTACACTGCATTTTAACATTGCCTAGTGTAACTGGTAGCACAGTACCTGGAAAAAACAAGAAGTCCAGGTGCGGAAGTCCGGCTAGCAGACAAAAGCTTTGCCCACAACTCACATTTTGGGAAATATTGATAATTATTTTATGAGTTCTGTCACTGTTGACTCTATGAATTTTTGGGAAAAATTTGTCAGCGTTTCAACG